CTAACAAGCACAGTTCTAAGCACTTTGGTATCATGTTTAACTCTGTCAACAATTCTGTGTGGTTGGATATATCATCCTTATTTATGTTACAGAAACAAACTGGAGAATTTAAGTACCTTGCCCCCGGTCACCCGGACCATAGGCAGTGAAGTGAAGACATGAGCCCAGGCCCTCTGGCTCCTGAGCCCCTGTGCATAACCACCACTCGCCATTATGTATGCAGAAAATAGCAACTTCGCTATTTTATACCTTACAGTTTTTTAGGATATCAAAGTAATGGAAACATCTTTTAGAGAATTCGGAAAATTTTGTCATTAGTAATCCTGTGAGCAGTGTTTAAAATTTATTTACGGTGTGTTCCTTCCAGCTCATTCCTTTGATCATTTATGTAGTTTAGTTGGTAAACATCATCTACGTAGTTTTACTGTAATTTGATTCTTGTTTCCATTTACTATTATATCATAACATTTTACGTTACCAAGGTACTGTCATAACCATAATTTTAAGGGTTGCAGAATATTCTCTTACACAGATATAACATGATTTATTTAACTATTCCCTTTTTCTTGGACATTTTGGTAGGTTACAGTTTTTCTCCTATTTATAAATAATGATGCTTTGAATATGTGACTGCATACTTGATTTTTTAATGTTTTGGATTATTTTCTGAGAGCAGATTTCTTATTTGATATTAGGGGAGTGTGTGGAGAGAAAGTTCAGTTTCTTTTAATGTTTTGATCTGGGACATTTGCAAAAATGCTATTATTTAAACTTTACTATATACAAATCTTGGAGAAACTTTTAGCTAGCAACCATTTAGTAATATTTTTATTATGATAATTAAAGATATGAGGATCTGAGTGTGGAATTAATCAAGACATCAAAACATTAACACTAAGACATTAATCAGAACATTTTAGTGAGATTACTGTAGGATATCAGGGTGAAAATTTATGAAGCAGTGCAACCATATTCTTTACAATTTGTTAAAAAGTCCTAACTTATTCAAATTGAGTCTGAATTTTATTTTTTGGGATGGTTACAGATTATTATCATTTTGTCTTAGACAATTTAGGGAAATATAAACGACTAGCAGTCATAATAGGGAGCCATGGAAGGAAAGGAGCTTTATGCAAAATGTTTTAGCAACTCAAATCACAAAGGAATATGGAAATTTTTTTGTGAGACTCTGTGTTTGTTGTGTGAAGCCTTTGAATTAGTTGCCATAACAATGACCTAGTAAAAGTGCTGTTGCAGATGCATGCTGTCTTGGATTTATAGGTGGGACAGATATGACAGCCTACACAGGGAGAAAGAGAAGGCATAAAATAGACTTGTTCACTTTCACAAAGAAGATATATCTAAGTAAAACTTTTGTATCCTTTGTCTTAAATATTGTATATAGGGATTGCTAAATGGATGCTTGGAAAGCTCTTATTTTCATTTTTATAAATTAAACAAGAAAAGAAATTAGAGGGAAATTGAGACAAAATTAATTGGCCAAATATTTGCCTAAATAATGTGTAAACTAGAGGTAGAAATCTTTAGCATTGCTTTTCACTTTTGAAAGACATGATAGAAAAAGTCCAGGGCTTTGGAGCTAGAGTGACCTGGATTTAAATCCTGGCTTTGCCACTTGCCAACTTATGAGGGCTCGTTACTCACCCTTTCTGAGTTTCATTTTTCTGATTTGTACAGTGTGGATAGATACATTTTATTAAGCGCATGTAGGGTTTATGCATTTTTTAATTTCATTCATTCTAAAATATTTACGGGCTACTGTGTGCCAGAAATTTGTTTTAATTGCTGGGGATACAGTAGTGAACTTCACATGGAGCTTGTATCTCTTTTTGTGGGGCGGGGGTCAGATAATAAATAAACAGATACGTAACATGTTGGGTGGTAAGTGCTCTGAAGAAAATAAAGCAGAGTAAGAGGAAAGAAAATGACCAGGGTGGAAAAGGAATTGTGTGTTGGGCAGGCGTGGGGGAATACTATTAAATATAGGCTTTTCAGGAAATCTTCACAATGTCTGATTTGAGCAGAGACATGAAGGAAGTGACAGAGAAAACCATGCAAATATCTGGGGAAAGAGTGTTCCAGGCAGAATGAGAATGATATGTGCAAAGATTTTGAGGTGGGAACATGTTTACTGTGTCCAAGGAGCAGTGAGGGGGCCATTGATGCCAGGGCAGAAATGTAAGTGGTGGAAATGGCTAGAGATTAGGTCAAGAGGTCATCAGGGGCCAGACCGTATAAGGCCCTGTAGGACGTCTAGGGCTTTGAAATTCATTGTGAAGAAGATGAGAGGTCATTGGAGAGTTCTTTGCAGAAGAGTGACATATCTAAGGTTTTTACAAGTTTCATTCTGACTGCTATGTTAATAGACTAGGCAGGATGGGAGTAGGAAAAAGTATGGAATGGAGGTTAGTGCAAAAGTCAGAGGGAGAGATGATGATGACATGGACCAGGGTGATAGATGTAGAGGTAGGGAGATTCTGGATATATTTTAAAGGATTTCCTGACAGATTGGATGGGTGGGTGGAGGGGATTGGAGAAATGGAGAGGAATCAAGGATCTCTCTTGAGTTTTTCTTGGTTGATTAGAAGGATGGGGAGAACAGGTGGGGTTAAAGAGAGCAGATTTTTGGTAGACAGAGTGGAAATCAGGAGTTCTGTTCTGGATATGTTAAGTATGAAACGGCTATTAAGTGGTGCTATCAAAGAGGCATTTGCATATATATATATATATGGGTGTGGAGTTTAGGGAGGAGGTTGGAGCTAGAGGTACAAATGTGGGCACCACCAGGCATTTAAAGCCGTGTGACTAGAGATCAGCAAGGGAGTGACCATAGGTGGAAGAGAGTAGAAGTGTAAGGAACTGAGCCCTGGAACGCTCCAGCACTTAGAGATCAGCTACATAGGAGTCAACTGGAAAGGAAACTGAGAGGGTATGACCCGTGAGGTAGGAAGAAAGCCAAGTGATGAAAACATTCCAAGATGTAGGGAGTGATTAGCTGTGTCAAATACTGTTGATTGGCCAAGTAAGATGTTGATGTTGTTAGTCGCTGTTGAGTTGGCTCTGAGATGAGGACAGAGAATTAACTAGCAGACTTGACAACATGGAGGGGGTTAGGGGTTTTGATGGCAGCTTTGGTGGAATGAAAGCCTAATTAGTTGTGAGCTTAAGAGAGAATGGGGGAGAGGAAGTAGAGACAGAGAACAAGATAACTCTTGAGTTTTGTTGTAAAGGAAGCAGAGAAATGGGACCTCTAGAAAGGGTATACCCTTTCCAGTTCACAACACTCTACCTCTCCCTCTTGTTACACCAGGTCTGCTTCATTCGTTACCTGTCAGGCCCTTGTACGTTTTTGAGATTTCACCTGTGCCGTACGGGTTTTCTAAGACCATGTAATCAAAGCATCTGGTACAGGACTACACATGATAGTTGTTGTTATTGCTTAAGAAGAGTAATTAAATGAAGGCAGCAATATGTTACAAAGGTACTTGATGTCTAAGGAATAGAACATTTTTATTTTTTTCTAAAATGAACCCTCTCAAGTATGTCATCTAGTATTTGAACAATTCCTCATTCTCCCTTGTGGATGTTGAAGATTTTTTTTAAATGTACATCAGTGTGGCAGCAGTAACATACCCTATGATCTTTTCAAGTTTTAAATTCAGTGAAAAATGAATTTAATTGAATTTAAATGAATTTGAGCCGAGCATTGTTTTAGGTACTATGGGACCCAGAAAGATAAGCAAATTATTTCCTTTCTCCAAATTTATACTTTAGTAGAAGGTAAGTACCCAAATAACCACAACTTTGGGTGAGTAAAGGGTGCTGATTGAGGCATCAGGAGAGGCTTCCCCGAGGAGGTGGTATTTGAAGTCGCCCTTTACACATTGGTAGGGTTCTTTGGTGTTTGGGGCAGAGAGTCTTACAGACAATAAGCAGAAATAATAGTAGTAAAAAGTTTAGAGGCAGGAAAGCTATCTGTCTAAGTAATAAAAAGAACTGATTAGTGTGACCATCTTTGTGGCTAGTTCACATTACTGGGTTGTCATTTTAATGAACCATGTGCAAAGCAAATAATATAGCCAATACCCAAATCTGGCTGTAAAATATGGTTCATTTGGTTTTGTACTAGGACTGTAGTAAGTTTGCATGTTCCTGGGCAGCTCAAACAGTTACGCTCTTGGCTGCTAACCAAAAAGTTGGTGGTTTGAATCCACCCAAAGGCACCTTGGAGTGATCTACTTTTGAAAACTCAGCCATTGAAAACCCTATGGAGCACAGTTCTACTCTGACACACATGGAGTCATCATGAGTCCAAACTGACTTGACAACAACTGATGTAGTAGGTTAGTTAGTTTTAACTAACTATAGTTCTCAGATTCCTGAATACTAATATCTGTTTCTATAAAGATTTCTTAGTTTTTCATTTTATTTTACATATTTTAATGAAAAGTTAATAAATGGATCTGTGTCTTCACAAACTAATACTTTAAGGAGAATAAAACTTTTGTTGACTACTTCTAATATTCGAAATATGTTAAGACATTATCAGTTTTAATCCTGAGACAGCATAGTGCATATTTTCATTGCTCTAATTACAGTAAAACCTGAGAAAGCTGGAACCTTTCTGGTAAGAGAAGGAAAACTCAAATATTTTCCACTAATAGAAGATGATAGAAAAGTGGTAAGACTACACCCTGTCAAAGGTGGAAAACTTGAAAGACTGGGAAAAACTAGACAGTCCCATTGAGTTCCGACTCTCACAGATTACACTGTAATACTTCTTTATATATTCTTCCGATAATATGTCTTGAAACAAGGTTCAATTAATGTGTAAAAATCATTTTTAGCAAAATTGAAGCAAAAATTTATTTTATGAAACTTTAAAAGTAGTTGCATAGTTCTTCCTCCCCTCACAAAAATACCCTGGGACTTCAAGATAAGAGATCACATATGCCAAAGTCATTTCTCTCTGTCTTTAGGAAATGGAGTTGTTCTTTCCTTCAAGTGGAGGTTGTGGGCCCGCAAACACTGCTAAGTTTACTAATTGCACCTGTTGCATTATTAAGCCCCACGCTATCAGTGAAGGTAAGTGCTGTGTTGAATACAATATATTTGGTACATTTTGTTAATAGCTTAGCTAATAGCTTATTTGGTTAATGTTTACTTTTTTGATGTATGTTACTTGGGGAAATTAAAGAGTACTTTAAATTTTTCCAGGCTCATGAATAAAGGTGACAGAATATAAGGGAAAACCTGTGTAAATCTTTATTTTTTATTCTTTATCTTTGTATCTGTACGTTTTTAGAAGGTGTTCCTTGAGATTTTAGAAGGTTGATTCCTTGACTCCTCTCCTTCCGGTCAGATAACTGCGATTCACTTAATTCACTTAAATAACACTCCTGACGTACAATTTAAAACATCATCTACTACATCTGTAGTATACTCTGAGAAAGTGGAAGACATTTTCTTCAGTTCTCAGTAAAAAACTCTTTGGCCAATGTATTTATGTATGTGTCTGTATGTATGAATGTATGTGTATAGGTATGTTGTTGTTAGTTTAGGTCAAGTCAGTTCGTCTCGTGGCGATTCCATGTGTGCAGAGTAGAGCTGCTCCATAGGGTTTTCAAGGTTGTGACCTTTTGGAAGCAGATTGCCAGGTCTTTCTTCCAAGGCACCTCTGGTTGGGTTTGAATTGCCCACCTTTTGGCTAGTTGTCGAGTGCTTAACTGTTTGCTCCACCTAGGACTTCATATATATATATAATATATTTGAGATATATGTACAGAGAGAAAGAGAGCAAGTTTTCTTATCATTATTTTCCTTTGTCTCAGTTTCTTCATCTGTTTATTTTAGCCTGTTGTATATATTTTTCTAGCTATCTCAAATACTTTTGGAAATGAGGTGGAGTATAATTAAAAAGATCACTCTAAAAATACTAGAATATACTAAATATAAACAGAATTGATCAGATTTATTTTTTAATTTTATGTTTTCCAAGTATAAAATTCAGATGTACAGTAGAAAATTTGGAAAACACATTAAAAAAGGAAACAAAAATCACCTGTTTTCCCATCATCCAGAGGTAATCATTGTTATTATTTGGAAAAAAAATCATAAAAAAAGAAACAAAAATCACCTGTATCCCATCATCCAGAGGTAATTATTGTTATTATTTTCATGTCTTTCTTCCAGATTTTTTTCCTCTGTATTTCTATACGTGTGTGTACACATGTATGTAATTATTAACATGGCTGAGATGTAAGTCTATAGGCTGTTGTTTTCATTCAGTTTTTGTGAGCACTTTTGGATAACTTTAATTCTTCATGAATATTTTAATAGCTGCACAATATGTGATCATGTAGGTGTAGTATAATATTTGAATATTTAGGCTGTATCTAGTTTTTAATATTAAAAATAAAGCTTTGAAGAATATCTTTGTACATAAATATTTGACAATATCCTTGATCATTTTCTCTGACTAGTTTCCTACAAGTAGAATTATTAGCTGAAAGAATATAACCCTTAAAGCTCTTATTGCATAATTAATATTTCTTTAATTATTCAGGAAGTACTTTAATATCTTATAGATTCTTAGGACCATAATTACAGGGAACTAACATGCATAATGGGTAACAAACATTTATGAAGAAGATACCACTTTGTGCCATGTGGAAGACTGGGTACCTTATACATTACCTCCTTCAGTCTTCACAGCAATCATGTCAAGTAGGTGAATTTATCACTCTTTTTTAGATAAACCAGCTGAGACTCGATGAGAATAAGTCATTTCCCCCAATTTTGAGTAGGGAATCTAGGATGCAAACCCTGGTCTCTTTTAATCTCCATATTCTTTTCTATATACTGTATTACCTCAAAGAACAAAACATCAAGAACAACAAAAATGTCACGTAGTCAGTAATGGCAAGTAATATTTGTGATAGTAATATTTCAAGTGGCTAGTACTGACAAGTCTTTGAAAACAAATTGGAAGCTTATGTTGTACCAATTTTTCTTGCCTGGAGATGAAGATATATATAAAATACCCATGAGGTATTTTCGTAAGCACACTATGCTTATTTTTTTTTTCAGCAACATGTGGAAGAGGATTGGCATGGGACACTTATGAGGGTGCCTCATGGGTGGAGGGTGTGGCTGGCCAGCAAATGCAGAGGGCGTGCATTATTTGCATAAAAATGTGTGTGTGTGTGTATACAGCATGTATATATATATATATATATGTATGTATCTATTTATATGATATATTTGAATGTGATAAGAGATACATTTTGTCATAAGAGTTCTTATTTAAAGGCCCTAACTTTTTTTTTTTTTTTTTT